CAATTTTATAGTAACCAAAGTTCAAAAACCTCTAATCGTCATTTTGCACCCACTTAAAGAAAAGTCTAGCTTCGGCCTGTCTACAAACATGTTTGAGTTGAATGATCTTCAAATATTCTATGTGTATTAGAATTTATGACAATATTCACGATATATATATATATTCTTTTGTATAATTTATGCACAGATATAGATTCTACTTCCACTGCAAGGCTTTTATCATTGTAGGAGAGTATCATTTCTTGTTTGGTTTGTTTCTCTTGTCTTGTTTCGATCCTATTTTAGTTGACTTTTTGTTTGTTTATGGTTATATCTTATTGTACAAATTATCAGAAATTTAAATGCTCAAATTTCATCTGTGATGAAAGAGTATCTTTGTGCCTTGGTGTGAAATTTTCATTTTTTTGGCTCAAAGTATTGGTTATGCTAGGCATGCATGTTTTTTTTTTTTTTGAACTTATGCTAGGCATGTTGCTGGAAAAGAGTGGCTGAACGTAATAATGTGTCGACTATGAGGGTGAGAATGGCTTTGTATGATCTTGCAGAAACACTCAAGTATTACAACATCAAGGTTTTATAATACGTTTGGTTTAGGGATTCTGAGAAAGCTCTGTAATCTGGATTATAGGATGTTACCGTGAGGTCGTTGCTCAAAAAATAAAAGGATGGTACTGTGAGGTCATGTTGCTTTGTGTCATTTGGAGAATTGTAGAGATGGGAAGAAAAGTAAAAATATAGGTTTCAAATGACCTCACGTGCACCTAAGAACATGTTAGTTACTGATATAAAATGCAATGGCATGTTGTTATTTGACAAAAGTTGTTTATGTTGATCTGAATAATGACTCAATATAGATGATGTATGTCTGTTTTGTCTCGTTTGATCAGATTCGTAATGATACCACGAAAAAGATGGATTTCACTTCACTCCAAACCCGGTTCAAAAATCAAGTCCGATAACTTGAAGGTCCGCTAAGATGACACCCATGCCGTAATGCCCACAAAATCAATGCCAATTTGACATGGTCAACTCTAAACGTTAAGGAGATTGGAACATTAAATTAATAGCACTATGTAAAAGATCACATCGTCGCCTCTAAATATTTATAAGAAAACGAGAAAGAAAAAAAGAGAAAGGGATTCAAATCTTAGATACCTATACTATAAACTTTTACACTCTTGTACGTTTCCAACTATATACTATTTTATTCAATTACATTGTATCGATACTTTTAATCAATAGTCACATATTCTTCATCAAATCACCTGATAAACACGTTAGATTAAACCATGTGGTCCATCATTTCGCGCTAGAATAAGGGGGAATTAACACAAAATAAAATTCAGATGGGTATAACTAAACCCTTGGCCTGAATGGATTCTCTAAAGAATGATCTAAAGGAAGGCTTAGAGTTTCTTCTCTCTGCAAACTGACGAGCAACCTCCAGCGTAGCCGCTCTTCTACCAGATTCCAGAGCGTGATGCCTCGATGCAGGCACAAAGGATAAAACCTGATACCAAGACACATTGATTTCCATGATAGGAATGCTAATTTCAATAACCTCAGGTTCTTCCGTCGGGATCTTAAAGGTGCATGCAACTTCTGCATACTGCCACTCGAGAATATAAGTCACAACAGTCAAATGCTCTATATAAGCTAGAGGCGGAAGATCGTTCAAGGGAGAAAGACTGTCAAAATAAGATATCACGTGCAAGAAGAAGCAACCATGAAAGATAAAACAAAATCAAAGATTGAAAATCTAGAAGACACATATCAGTGATGAAGTCAAGTACATACATAATGTAATAATAGGCGTAGTTATTCCAAGTCCGAGCTCGGACCTCCTTGAGCTTGCTAATAACCAATGACTCTATTTTAATTGAATTCACGATCATCTGGTTGAACTTCATAAAATAAAAATAAATAAAAAACCATTAAAACAACCAACTAGAGCAGCAATTAGATGACGTTAAAAAGCCGCCTACCAAGGTCGGCACTCCATTCATATCAAACCCTCCCCACAAAGGTATAAGAAATCGAGTTCTCCTATGCTTTCACAAAGAAGTAGTTGCTCTCCTAATCTTGGATTGCTCTGGGAGGCGATACTATATGAGGGTTACCAATAAGGTTATACATATTGAGCTTCTGATAGACTGACCTAAAGATAGTAATAGCTTAAATAATTGAGGCCCCGTCGCTCGTTCAAGAAAGCACTAAGAGACCCATTATAGTCCGGATCTCCCCCATCATTAGTTGGTAAATGACCATTTTGCCTATGGCAGTACACAAGCAAGAGATAAGGAAGACGAAAACACATATGAAATTCCCTATGGAATGATTTATACATTGTGAAATACCCTCTAGGCGCCAGCCAGGGTCTATCAGACTCAAGCCTCGGGTGACTCCCTCAACTCCTGATTCGATTTTGCACTACTGGTGGTTTTCAGTGCCGAATATAAGGGGTGGCAGGGAGAAAACTTGTTGTGGCTTCCAAAGTCCCCTACTAGGGTCGTGGCACCACCTCAGTCACTAGTACTTGCAATGGCTGCCATGGCGGAAGACAAAACTCTGACCCCAACACCTATAAACCTAAACTCTAATAGAGGGATGAACATGATGGGATATCATCATCAGACAATGAACACAAAGAATCATTGGAACCCCTTTGGAACCACAGTTAATTTCAAAGCAGAATCCAAGGGTCACCTTGAATTCCTTCTGACCAGACGAGCCATTGACGCGGAGGAAACAAATGAAAGTCAAAAGGCCAATATGTGGAGAGAAAAAATATGGAAATCGCATGAAATTCGATTAAAGGTTGAGACGAATGGAAAGCAAACTGACACACGACCATTTAAGGAAATAATATGAGACAAGAGAAAATGGGTAGGGGGGAACAAACCTTTTCCTTCCTAAATGACACACTGACAACACATAAAAGAAAATAGAAAGTCTAAACTTTCACACAAGAATCATGGAACAAAATTTTTCTTTTCTGCCGAAACAAATCATTTTCCAAGGATAAAAAATTAAATACCTTAATTTCCGTAAGTATTATCATCGGCCCAAATCAGCAACTAATTTGTAAAACCGGAATCTCAAACCAGGTTCTGAAAGACATAAACCACATATCACAAATATATCACCCATGTCGGAACTAACAACTCGAAGTGGTTAACAATATGAAACACGCTGGACTCTGTGGGAGTTACTATTGAAGCTGGATTTTATCCTACTCCAAGCCCGATTCAAATATGCAGCCCAGTAACCCGAGGGTTCGCTAAGATGACATCCCTGACGTAGAAGAATCAAGGCCCATCGCAAGCCAACAAGAAACCAATGCCAACCTGACCCTATCAACTCGAAATGTAATGGAGATCAGAGCACTAAAGAGAGAATTGATAGATACACATCGGGACTCGCCGTTACGAATCTCCATTAAATATTGATAAAAGGATGAAAAGTAGAAAGAGGAGACTTTCAATGCCTTAAAGACCTATACTATAGACTTTTACATTCTGACTTGTTTTCAACTATGTATTATTTTGTTCAACTAAATTTTATAATTTGATCAATAAGAAAAACACAATCTTCATCAAATCATACTAATTCAGTTTTTTATTCATTTCTTGCTATACATGTTAGATTAAACCCTAATCCTAATTTAAGTGGTTCTATGGTCCATACACTGACTGGGATAAATATTTAAAGCCTAATCCATATTTTAGATTTCACATGACCTCCTGAGTACCTGAGAATATATGCATTATTGATATGAAATGCAACATCATGAAGTTAGTTTTATTATTTGACTAGTAAAACCACGAAAATAAACATTGGTTTGGCGTTTTTTTTGTCAAACGGATTATATTAAAGTTTAAAAAAAAGTTTGTGGCCTCACACCCAAATTTTAGTCCACTGGGGCAAAAGTATTAATAAGCCGGATCATAATGTTGTTATTATCACTTTTACATTTTCTACCTACCATAGTGTAGTGTGGCTTACTGGCTTGGTATAGTAGCATCTGTAGTCGCGGCTCTTCTATTACATGATTAACTAATTGGCGCATGCTTGAAAAATGGTAAAAGCCATACCCAACCAAAAATGATGTTATAGTAACCAACAAATCGATCTCATTTCATCATAGACAAAACCATGTGAAGTTCGAACCACACAGTAGATTAATTTAAAACAATTAACGAGTGGAACCATTGACAAGGAATTTCAATTGCAAATACACTTCATATGTTTCTCAAGCTCTTATAATAAAACAAATAATTTTAAACCCCTTAAGCTCTTATAATAAGACGAACATCAGAATTTAGTATATATTAAATGGGCTTAATTTGGGCCCAATTCTTTTTAAGTTTATTTTTGGGCTCCATACCGGGCTTTATGATAACCGAAATTACAAAAAAAATGGGACTCATTAGATCCAAAACGCAAGCGACAAAAAAGGTCCAAAGTAGAAAACGTTATTTAAATAGTATTTAAATCAACGAGAGAGAAACAATTGAAAGAGAGAGAAACGCGAATCATGAAATCAAACTCCCCTCGATTTCCCCGAAAACCCAACAAAGAGAAAAAAGCATCTGACAATTCACACAAACTTTTAATTAAATTTTATACTCGTGTTTTTTTTTTTATCTTCCTCTCTTCTCTCAATCAAATTCAATATCGATTTATCCTTTTCTATCTTTAAAAAAATTACGGAAGACTCAAAAAGAAAAACAAAACAAAAATTGGGTGATTATTATTTGTGGAAATGAAAAGTCAGACAAGCACTGTGGGTGTTGTTCGTTCTCTTGCTGTTCTTCTTCGTGATTTCTTCTTCTTTTTATTTCTTTTAATATATTTAAAATTTTCGTGAACCCAAAAAAATAAAAGAAAAGAAAAAATGGATATCGGATTTATTAATGATCATGTCGATATTGCTCAATGTTTAATGTTTATGGTTTTTATTTGTAAAATCCCCAATCACATTCCAAGTAGTAGTAGTAGAGAGAGAGAAAGTTTTTTTCTTTTTGAGTTGATTTTTATTCTTCTTTACTTCTCTTTTTCGTCAAACCAAAACAAATCCAACGGTGTTCGTGTTCTTCATCCTCCTCAAAGAAGAAGAAGACAACCCAAGACCCAACAATCCTTTCCTTAAATCTCATCTTCATCTTCTCCTCTTCTCAAGCTTTTGTTTTTGATCCTTGTGTTCAAGTAAGTTTTGATTTTTTCTTTTTCCCCCAAATCAATTCATGAGCTCTTTCTAATTCTAGGGTTTCGATTTTTTCTTTTTAATTATCCTCAGATTTGGGGGTTATTGTCTAGAAATGGAAGATGGGTCTGAAGCAGACAAGAACAAAACACCTGAAGGTGTTGCTGCTACTGAGAGTAAGAGTAAACGGAAAATGAAAACAGCTGCTCAGCTTGAAGTTCTTGAGAACACCTACAAAGGTTTTGTCTTTTTATTTTTATTTAATTCTCACTCCATTTGTTGTTGTTAGTGTTTAATTTTTGACTGTAATGGTTTCAGCTGAGCCGTATCCTTCGGAAGCTATAAGAGCGGATCTCTCAGTTCAGCTGAATCTCTCCGACAGGCAGCTACAGATGTGGTTCTGTCACCGCCGTCTTAAAGACCGCAAATCTTCTACTCCGACCAAACGCCAGCGTAAAGAGTCCACACCCTCCGCGGCTGAGTCCTCCAAACAGGCCGTCAATGCCGCTGATTTGGTGGCGGGAATTGAGCATAACTCTTTTGATTCTAGAAGAACAGCTCGAGGAGGCGGCGGTGGTGGTGGTGTAACGGTGGTCAGGCGGTTTAATGAACCGTCTCCGGCTGAGGTTAGAGCTGTCGGTTACGTGGAAGCTCAATTGGGAGAGCGTCTGAGAGATGACGGACCCATTCTTGGAATGGAGTTTGATCCTTTACCTCCTGGTGCTTTTGGGACTCCTATAGGTATATATGCTTCTTATCCCAAAGCTGCTTGCTATTTATAGTAATGTTGTTGAATAAGCAAAACTGATTTTTTTCTTTTTTGGGTGTGGAGCAGAGATGCCAAGCCATCGAAAGGCAGCGACTAGGCCGGCGTTTGAGACCAACTTATATGTCCGGCCCGATGCAAAGCCTGTTAAAGTTAGTTCTTCCTTTTACTTTTGCCTCATGCTTTGTTGTTACTCTCTTTCGTCTTGTACTCAACAAATTTGTCATTTCTATCATTTTAGGATTCTGTGAGGACTATTCGTGAGTATCAGTTCCTTCCTGAGCAACCATCTTCCGAAAGAGCTTCTCCAGCGTCACATCATTATGGAGTTCCGCTTGATGCTTCAGTGGTAATGAGGGCTTCATCAGTGTCTGGTGGACATCGGGATGACTATAAAGTTTCGCCGCAGATACCAAATTTGAACCTTTCAGCTCATCAAGTGAAACTAGGGCACGTCTCTTCGCATAATTTGGGTGAATACGACTCACCGTACCAGAAGAGCTATGTGGATCCTGCCCTACATGGAAACGAGGATCCTTTTGTGAAACCCGTGAGAGAAGTTGGTAATGATGATGATGAGGATGAGGATGATGGTGATGATGTTCTCCTGCAACTCGAGAGAAAACGCAAGGTGCGGAAAAAAGGTTTCCTTGTGACAGTTTTATGTTAACTGTTAAAGACTTCTACCCTCATTTTCTTATTATATATGTTTCATTATAGAGTGAAGAAGCGAGAATAGCTCGGGAAGTCGAGGCTCATGAGAAGAGAATCCGAAAAGAGCTTGAGAGACAAGATATGCTGAGACGAAAGGTCTTGTTCCATTTAAGCTAATAAGCACACTTTATTAAATGTTGATTTTTTACTCAGTGTATCAGTTGGTTGTGCAGAGAGAGGAGCAAGTAAGGAAAGAAATGGAGAGGCAAGACCGTGAAAGACGTAAAGAGGAAGAACGGCTTTTACGTGAAAGGCAGAGAGAGGAAGAGAGGTACCACAAAGAGCAGATGAAAGAGATGCAGCGAAGAGAGAAGTTCTTGAAGAAAGAAACAATCAGGGTATTGTGACGCACACCTTTAGGTATTTTTACAACTTAGGTGTAGTGCTGTCTTCTCATTTGATTTTCATGAACTAGGCTGAGAAAATGCGACAGAAAGAAGAGATGCGCAGGGTAAAAGAGGTTGCAAGGCTTAAAGCTGCTAATGAGAGGGCCATGGCTCGTAAAATTGCTAAGGAATCAATGGAACTGATTGAAGACGAACGCTTAGAACTCATGGAGGTTGCGGCGTTAGCCCAAGGATTACCTTCAATGCTCGCCCTCGACTTTGAAACTCTACAAAACCTTGATGCATATAGAGGTGAGTTAATAGCTAATAGTTTTTAATCTTTTTGATACGGTCTTTTCAGCTGTTTATTAGAACTGTTTTTTATATACATCTGATGGCTTGTATTCTTTCAGATAAGCAGGTGACATTTCCCCCAACATCTGTAAATTTGAAAAAGCCTTTTGCTGTGAAACCATGGAATGGTTCTGATGAGAATATTGCAAATCTTCTTATGGTGAGTTTTCCCATCTTATATAATCCGTAGTAATTTCTTATGTGAATCTAACTGTATCAGTAACAAATGTTTTGATTTGATTGGAAACAATATAGGTGTGGAGATTCTTAATCACTTTCGCTGATGTTCTTGGCCTTTGGCCATTTACTCTTGATGAGTTTACTCAAGCATTTCATGACCACGTAAGTGTTTCTCTCTTTCGTGTATCTCTGCGTTAGATCAATAACATGATTGATTTTCTCATGTTTTCCTTGCTGTCATGTAGGACCCACGACTCATGGGAGAGATTCACATTGTCCTTTTGAAGACTATAATCAAAGATATTGAAGGTGTTGCAAGAACACTTTCAGTCGGCGTTGGAGCGAACCAGAACGCTGCAGCTAATCCCGGAGGGGGTCATCCTCATGTCGTGGAGGGTGTAAGTTTACCCATTTTTATGTAAATATTTCTCCTATTCGTCCTAATGTTTATATGATGCAATCTTGGATTTTTAGGCATATGCGTGGGGTTTTGACATACGCAGCTGGAAAACAAACTTGAATGTTTTTACTTGGCCTGAGATCTTGAGGCAACTAGCTCTCTCTGCCGGGTTGGGACCGGAACTAAAGAAACAGGACATTAAAACCATGTCTGTTCACGATGAAAACGAGGTGGGAAAATATATATTTCTTGTCAAATCAGTTTTACTAATGTATTGTGGCCTCTGTTTACCTTGTTTTCTTCCAAGTGTAGGCCAACAACTCTGAGAACGTGATTTTCAACTTGAGGATTGGAGCAGCAGCTGAGAATGCTTTTGCCAAGATGCAAGAAAGAGGTCTTTCTAATCCGAGACGTTCACGGCATCGTTTGACTCCAGGAACAGTTAAATTTGCTGCCTTTCATGTTCTGTCTATTGAAGGTGAAAAAGGTTTGACAATTCTCGAGGTTGCAGAGAAGATTCAGGTAAAAGATGTTCTAAAGATTGCTTTCTCCTGAAACTTAATTAATCAGCTTTCGTTTCATTCTCGTTTTCTTTCTTGTTTGATCATAGAAATCAGGATTGAGGGATCTAACTACGAGCAGGACACCTGAAGCTTCGGTTGCTGCTGCGCTGTCTCGAGATACAAAACTATTTGAGAGAGTAGCTCCTTCTACGTACTGTGTGCGTCCTTCCTATAGAAAGGATGCAGGTGATGCCGAGACTATATTTGCTGAAGCGAGGGAGAGAATACGCATGTTCAAAAGCGGTGTTACCGATGTGGAAGATGTTGATGAAGCTGAGAGAGAAGAAGATTCCGAAAGCGATGTAGGAGATGATCCAGAGGTTGACTTGAACCTCAAAAAGGAAGATCCTGATGCTCTGGAGATAGAAAAGTTAACCGGTGTAGAAAATGGGAAACTGGAAACCGAACCGGGCCTACCACTTACTCCCTCTCTCCTGGAGGATACAAAAGCTGAGAAAATAGATATCTTACCAAATCAATCTCCAGAGGATACTGTAGCAGATGAAGGTGACAGTGCTGATTTTGACGTGAGTAAACTTGGAGAACAATGGGTGCAAGGACTCGTAGAAGGAGACTATTCGAGTCTCAGCGTCGAGGAACGTTTAAATGCACTTGTTGCTCTGATTGGTATTGCAATCGAAGGAAACACAATCCGAATCTCCCTTGAGGTAACCTAAAAAAAGTCTCAAAAACTTTACATTCACTTGAGTCTTCTTACCTATCTGTCTTGTGCGTGCAGGAACGTTTGGAAGTTGCGAGTGCGTTAAAGAAACAAATGTGGAGTGAAGTACAACTCGAGAAACGATGGAAAGAAGAGTCTTTGATTCGTGCGAATTACCTTTCGTACCCAACACCGAAGCTTGGGACTCAAGAAAGTCCATCAGCAGATCATGTGGCGCCAATCTCCGCACAGGACCCGTTGAGTATCGATGTAGCAGGACCAAGCTTGCAGTTGCAAGAGAATGTATCTGGAATGGAGAATTCGCAGTATCATCAGCAGCAGCAGCAGAGTTACACAGCGGACAGAGAAAGGCTCCGTGCAGAGTTGAAAGCGTACGTTGGATATAAAGCTGAGGAGCTTTATGTGTACAGATCACTTCCGCTCGGCCAAGATCGAAGACGCAACCGTTATTGGCGGTTTTCGGCATCCGCCTCAAGGAACGATCCTGGTTGTGGTAGGATATTCGTTGAACTTCAGGATGGTCAATGGAGACTCATTGATTCAGAAGAGGTAAATATTTGACAAGAGCTCTTTCTTGAAAATGTGGAAACATTTGTTTGATGGTTTCTTTTTCAGGGCTTTGACTGTTTGGTGAAGTCACTAGATGTCCGTGGTGTACGTGAATCACATCTGCATTTCATGTTGCTAAAGATCGAAGCTTCTTTTAAAGAAGCAGTGAGGAGTAATGTGGAGACGAGTACCGGCTTAGACTTGGATTCTGATACTGCGGAGATCTCCTCAACGTTTAAGATAGAGCTAGGGGATGGTGACAGAATCGGAGTGTTGCAACGGTTCCAGAGTTTTGAGAGATGGATGTGGGATAATATGCTTCATCCTGGTGTGTTATCCGCGTTTAAGTACGGTGCCAAGAAGAGCACTCCGCTTTTCCACATTTGCAGAAGCTGTGCGGAACTATACTTTGCAGGAGATGTTTGCTGCCCTGGTTGTGGTCAGATGATGCCTTGTGGTTTGGATGATAGTGAGATGTGTTTCGCTGACCAAGTGGCTCAACTCGGTGAAATTTTGAGAAGAGACGCTGGATTCATATTACGTGGCTCGATGTTGGTTCCTCTCAAGATAAGACTACTCAAGATTCAGTTAGCACTTGTTGAAGTGAGTTATTTCTAGTCGTCTTCTATAACTTATGATTGTGTATTTTAACGGTAAAGTGATTCTTCTTCTACCATGGGAACAGGCTTCTCTTCCCCTGGAAGGACTTCAAACTCATTGGACAGAGAGTCTCAGAAAAACTTGGGGTCTTAAGCTGTTGTCATCAAGTTCCCCTGAAGAACTTCATCAGGTTCAATGTTTTTCCCCAAATTGTGCATTGATCTTTCTTTCGGACAGTGCTGATCCCATCGTCTTGGTTTCAGGTTCTGACGATGTTAGAGGTGGCGCTAAAGAGAGACTTCCTGTCTTCAAACTTTGAAACAACTTGTGAACTCTTGGATTTATCAGAAGAAGCTCTTGTCAGAGATGTTAAAGTAGTACCGTGGATACCGAACACCACGGGAGGTGTAGCTTTGAGACTCTTTGAACTCGACAGCTCCATTTCTTACACACCTGATCAAAACAAGGATCCTCAAAAAGACAAAGAATCTGAAGATTTTGTAGTAAGTTTTATATAATACTGAATGCAGATTCTTTTTTTTTTATCATACACTTAAAAAGCTTTCTTCTTCAAGGGTTTGGAGACGAATTTTCTTAGGAATGTTCAAGAACAGGACGTAATCGAGGCTACTCCGGTGCAAGTTGCTTTCGCTCAAGAAGACACGGAGCCTGGTTCAGGTAGAGGTCGACCACCACGAGGACGTGGCCGGCCTCGTTCCCAACGTGGCAAGAAACCATCGCTGGCTTCTGGTAAACCACCGCGAGGTGCAGCAAACTCAAATGATGAACCAATGTTGAGGCCGAAAGCTCAACCATGTGGGGGTAGAAAGAAAGGACGACGCAGCGGCACCAGGACAAGACCGACGAAAGGAACACTCGGTATATCCAATGAAGTAGTATTAGGAGGACGTCGGGGTAAGGAAGTGAATGTAAATGCCAAAACCGCTCTTCACGATTGGGTGGAAACGCCTGATGATGATGATGAAGAAGCTAGCAGCTCGGGGAGATCGTTTCAGTACGATGATGTGATGGCTCCGGTTGATGACTTTGGGGAATCAAGTAAATTAGTAGGTAGAGGTGAGTTTAGTTTACATAGTGATGATGAATACGAAGAAGAAGAAGAAGACATGGACACGAAAATGAATGTTGATGATGATTACATAAACGAGGATTCTGATGGTAGAGAGCAGCCGCCGGAGATGATAAGCATGGATGCAGCTCGGAGAAAGTTTCCGTTTGAAGATCCTGATCTTACATCTTCATCTTCCTCTGATTTTCAGTGACTAATTAGAGACAGGAAACTACTCTGCGTGTCTTTTTGTTTGTTGTATTCTTCCAGGTTTCTTAGTTTAAACATTTATCATTAACCTTTTTTAAAAAGAAAATGTAACATCAGTGTGATCTCTTCATCGTAAAAGCTTCTACTGTTATATCGGAAATGAGTAAGAATCATTATTGCAGGTTTTGTAAGGTGAGTTTTTTAGGGGAATATAAGAAATTGTTTAAAGTAGTATTTTAAAATAATGTTACAACGAGTACACATTAAGATATATAATGGTGGTGTAATGATATATGGTCATCGTTATACCTTGTTTAATGAAAGTACAATTAAAAATTATTTTTTATTAGTATACTGAGTTGGAATTGCAGAGGTGTTGGGAATTTGGATACTGTTCAACGGATTAAGGATTTACGTCGCTAGTCGCTAGTATTTTCCAGATTTTATATTTCTAATGGAAACGAAACAAAAGTTTGATTATATGGATACTTTAAAATTAAGTTTGGGGTATGATTGCTTATACATAGTGGAGCCGATTGGACGTAGTGATGGGTTAGCTTTAATGTGGAAAAGTTGCTACGTAGTAGAGATTATTAATAGTGATAATAGAATTATTGACCTCAAAGTGACAATGGATTCCATGGTGTTTTTTCTTTCATGTGTATATCGAGATCCTGTAAGAGGGAGAAGACGCTTTGTCTGGGACAAATTAACTGATATTGGTTTGATTAGTGATGAAACATGGGTTCTGGTTGGGGATTTTAATGAACTAATGCATAATGGAGAAAAATTAGGAGGTCCTACTAGAGAAGAGACCACATTCTTTGATTTTCAGAATATGGCTGAGGCATGTAAAATACGGGAAATGCGGTCCACAGGTAATACCCTTTCATGGGTAGGTAGGAGGGATCATAATTGGATACAATGCCGTTTAGATAGGAGCTTTGGTAATGCTGAGTGGTTTCGACTATTCCCTCAATCGTCAACGGAATATATGAGTATGTGGCCTTCTGATCATCGGCCACTACGTGTTGAGTTTGCTCTCGAATCTGAGAACTTGCAAAGGGGACGGTTTTATTTTGATAGACGGTTATAAGGGAAAATAGGGGTAGAGGAAGCCATTATTCGAGGATGGGACGTAGAAACGTTAACTCGAATCTTAATGTTCTTGATCGTATTGCTCGATGTCGGTCGAAGTTATCTAAGCTTAAAAAAACGAATGACTGAACTTCAAAAACAAAGATAGAACGGTTGCAAATTGAATTAGATAAGGAAAGCTCAAAGCAATTCCCTATTGATGGTTTGTTAAGGATACTAAGGCATGATTTGGCAGTGGCCTATAGAGAAGAGGAAATTTTTTGGAGGCAAAAAAGTAGAGAAAAATGGTTACGGGAAGGGGATAGAAATACAACTTATTTTCAAAATGTTGTTAAAGGGAAAAAAATAAGGAATACGATTTTGATGGTTAAAGATATTTTTGGTAATAAAAATTATTCGGAAGGGTCTAAAGGACATATTGCTATTGAATATTACAGAGACTTATTTTCTAGTTCAAACCCAAGTGATTTAGAAACCTTGTTCGATGGTTTTGAAAGTAGGGTTACTTCGGAGATGAACAATTCATTAATTAGAGAAGTCTCTTCTGAAGAAATCAAGAAGGCAGCTTTTGGTATTAAAAATTTAAAAGTAGTAGTGCTTCTGGTGAAGATGGTCTTACATGTTTTTTCTACCAAAAATATTGGCATATAGTGGATCAGAAAATTATTGACGATGTTCAGGGTTTTTTAAAACATCCATTATTCCTTCTCAATGGAATCATATACAGTTATTCCTATTACCAAAAATTTTACATCCTACGGAGATGAAGGATATGAGACCTATTAGTCTTTGTAGTGTTCAATATAAGATTATTTCACGTATTTTGTGTGAACGATTGAAGGTTATTATGCCTAATCTAATATCAGAAACACAAGGAACTTTTGTTGAAGGCCGTTTAATTACTGATAATATCATTATAGCACATGAATTAGTTTATGGGCTACGAACAAATGATAAGCTTGGTAGAGAAAGTATGGCTATAAAGACTGATATGTCTAAGGCTTATGATAGGGTAGAATGGAACTTCCTCGAGGTATTATTAGAGAAAATGGGTTTTGATCGCAAATGGGTCGTTTGGATAATGTCATGCATTACAACTGTTACTTTTTCGGTATTATTTAATGGACGCTCCCATGGTTTTATTAAACCGGAAAGAGGAATACGTCAAGGAGATCCTCTATCCCTTTTCCTTTTCATTTTATGTGCAAAGGCCTTAGTACATGTGTAGAACAGAGCTGAGGCTTCAGGGAATTTACATGGTATTAAGTTAGCCACAGGTAGCCCTTCGGTTCATCATTTGTTATTTCTTGACGACAGCTTATTGTTGTGTGAAGCTTCTACCAAGGACAGTGAGGAAATTATGAAAGGGCTGAAACTTTATGGGGTTGCGTCTGGGCAAATGATTAACCCTTTGAAATCCTCCATCATTTTTTGGAACAAAATAACAGATGACACAAAACAAGCGGTAAAGAGGGTCCTGGGGATTGAAGATGAAGGGGGTGCTGGATCATATCTTGGACTTCCTGAATATTTTCAGGGATCAAAGAAAGCTCTTCTAAACTTCATAAAGGATTAGAAGGTAGGTTACAGGGGTGGTACTCCAAAACTTTGTCGATGGGAGCCAAGGAAGTTTTGATAAAGTCGGTTGCATTAGCTCTCCCCTGGGTAACTTGGGAAAAGTTATGTAAACCAAAAGAACAGAGGGAGATTTGGTTTTCATGACATTGGCCGTTTCAATCAGGCCTTACTCAGAAAACAAGCCTAGCGAATTTGGATGAACCCGGATTCCTTGGTTTCTCGAATTCTTAAAGGAAAGTATTTCAAAAATGGTCAATTCCTTAATTGTGGTATGGGGACACGTCCGTCTTTTGCATGGAGAAGTATCATGTACGGTAGAAAACTACTCAAAAATGGATTGTTTGGACATATTGGTAATGTGATGGATACTAATGTTTGGGCAGAAAATTGGATTATTGATATCATTCCCCGGTCTCCAATGTACAAGGAAAATAGTCCCATAAACTTAGCGTTAAAAGTTTCTGATTTAATCCTTCAGGAGACAAATCAATGGGATATTAATTTGTTACATCATACCTTTTCATCACAAGATGTTCAAAGGATATTATTACTGAAACCGGTAGTAAATTTTCAAGATTCTTTTAAATGGGGTTTCACATCAAATGGTGCATATTCGACTCGGAGTACTTATAAGTTTTCAGAGGCTTTAATGGATTATGAACACCCTCCGCAGAATTCTCTTAGTCCCATTGAAAAACAATTGTGGAAGGATCTATGGAATATTAAAGCCCCACCTAAAATCAAACACTTCATGTGGCGTGCTCTATCTGGTGCGTTAGCTGTCAAACAACGTTTGTCTACTTGGGGTATTTCTATTGATCAAACATGTTCTTTCTGTGGTAATGGGGTTGAGAGTATATGTCATGTCCTCTTTACTTGTGTTAAAGTAAGAGCCACATGGGAACAATCGAATTTTCCATTGCCTCCAGGGGGTTTCTCCTGTAGTTCCATATTTTTAAATTTTGTGCATCTGAATAAGACTATCAAGAACCTCAATATGGATAGTTATACAGGAAGAGTATTCCATGGTTACTGTGGGAAATTTGGAAAGCTCAGAATATTTTTACTTTTGAGACCAAAGTTATCGATGCCTCGGTCATGGCTATAAAAGCTTATGAAGCAGAATCTGAATGGTGTGATGCTTTCACTGAAAAGATTGATGGGGCTACTAGTATCGATACTAAAATGGTGTGGTGGAAACCTCCGTCCATTGGTTTCCTAAAATGTAATATTGGATCCTCATGGGTGAAACCCAATCAACCTAGTGGGGCATCATGGATACTACGTGATGGAAATGGGGTTGAGATCATGCATAGCCGTCAGGCTTACTCTTATATGCGTACAAAAAGAGAGGTTGATTTATGGGCTTTGTTCTGGGCGGTCGAATGTATTGATAACCTACATTTTTCAAATATTATTTTTGAGACATCGTCCGACAGCCTCCATGACATTCTCACACAGCCTGACAACTAGCAGTACTTTGATTTCCACCTCATCCGCCATAGTATCTTTTCTCTTCTGGCAAGGATAGACATATGGAGTTTAGATCACGTCTTTCATGAACGCAATAAAGCGGCAGCGGCAATTTCTCTAAGTGTCACTCGTGATCAACGCCACCAATTATACATAGCCAGATATGCTCCGGTGTGGCTTTATCATCTTCTCTCTTTGGAGGCTCAGGAGTAAAGGGTCAATTAGGTGAGCTTCCTTTCATTTTGTTGTCGGGGTCTACTAACTTCCTATCTTATTTTTCTTTATGTATCTTTTGTTCCCAATGTTGTACGATCATTGATTTAAATGTTATTAAAAAAAGTAATATTTTAAAAAATATTTTTTAATTTTTTAATTAAAAATTAGTAAGATATAATTTTTTATATTTTTTATTAATTCCGTTCTAAAAAACTTGCAATAATGATCTAACCATTTAAAGCAGTTTTGTCTTTTTTACTTGTTATTTGAGGGACACATTCCCAAAAGTTGAGATAAGTTTGGACCAATATGTCCTTCGGTCGTGTAATTATCTATACTATAACGTATGTTTACTGGTTTAGTGAACTAGGTTTTCTTTTGGTTTGGTTAGACTATTTAAAAAATGTTGGTTTATGGAAAAAATGTTGGTTAGACTATTTAAAAAATGTTGGTTTATGGAAAGGTGGAAATTAATCGTGGTCACATGATTGAAATTAATTGTGTACTAGATTTTGATTCGTGTATTCAAAACGCATGATTGATCTTGTTATATGAATCATGAATCTTATTATCTTTTTACATGTTATATATACTAAAATTATTAGAGCAAAAGAGTCATATCATTCATTCCCTTATCATATTGTATAAGAGTATATAAATAGACAGAAAATATTTACATTCTCACCTGCTAAAATGATTTCCATAAGTGTATGACTTTTGCATGAACCATAAATTGATTTCCAATCTGATTTGAAATAGTTAGAACAAAAAAATTATATCATTCCTTTATCATATCATATAATAGTGTATATAAGTAGACAAAAATACTTATATTCTCATCTGCTAACAATAAAACGTGTTGTTTTTAAATGCGTATGACTTTTACATGAACCAACCATTCTGATTTGAAAGGTTTCAAATCCTTAAGCGCAGTAATTT